ATTGCTCAGACCATCCTCCATAAAAATGTAGTTTTTATTCTGATCAGCCATACATGCAGCTAAAAATTGAGACTCCTATTTCCAATAGAAGATGAAGAGAAAGCGTACTGGGAAACAATTATCTCTGCCACATGGTGGTTGAGCCCTTGAAATGTGGTTAGTCCAAATGGAAGTGTGCTGTAAGTGTAAATGGACAATAGATCTCAGACTTATCACAAAAAAAAAACAAACAGTAAAACATCTTAGTATTAATTTTTTTTTTTTTTTTTTTTTTTTTTTTTTTTTTTTTTGAGATGGAGTTTTGCTCTTGTTGCCCAGGCTGGAGTACAACGGCATGATCTCGGCTCATTGCAACCTCCGCCTCCTGGGTTCAAGCGATTCTCCTGCCTCAGCCTCCTGAGTAGCTGGGATTACAGGCGTGTGCCACCATGCCTGGCTAATTTTGTATTTTTAGTAGAGACAGGGTTTTCCCATGTTAGCCAGACTGCCCTCGAACTTCCAACCTCAGGTGATGCATCCGCCTCAGCCTCCTAAAGTGCTGGGATTACAGGCATGAGCCACTGCACCCAGCGGTAATAATTTTTATATTGATTATGTGTTGAAAAGAAAATATTTTGGAGATATTGGGTTAAATGGAATATATTGTTAAAATTAATGTCACTTTTTGGTACTTCATTAATATGGCTACTAGAAAATTTGAAATTACATTGTGGCTCACTTTTGTGACTTGTGTTGTATTTCTTTGTTGCTTTTTTTTTTTTTTTTTCTTTTTAGACAGAGTCTCGATCTGTGGCTCAGAGCTGGAAGGAAGTGCGGTGGTGTGATCTCAGCTCACTGCAACCTCTGCCTCCCAGTTCAAGTGATTCTCCTGCCTCGGCCTCCCAAGTAACTGGGATCACAGGCGGGCTCCACCACACCTGGCTAATTTTTGTATTTTTAAGAGACACAGGGTTTCACCACGTTGGCCAGGCTGGTCTCAAACTCCCGACCTCAAGTGATCCAGCTGCCTCAGCCTCCCAAAGTGCTGAGATGACAGGAGTGAGCTAATTTTAGTGGGTTTTGTTGTTGTTTTCAGTAGGGGAGAAGAGAGATAGTATGTTTGGTTGGGAGAATTTGAATTTCACTAGCTGCACCTTTCTCTTTTATGTGTTTGTGATATAATTAGCCTTTGGAAGTCTTTTACACTTGTATGCCTCCAGTGATAGAGAGATCATTAACTCATGAAGCAGTTTAAATTCCTCTTTGAGCAGCTCTTTTACAAAACGCCTCTTCAGGCCAGGTGCAGTGGCTCACACCTGTAATCCCAGCACTTTGGGAGGCCAAGGCAGGTGGATCACCTGAGGTCAGGAGTTTGAGACCAGCCTTACCAACATGGTGAAACCTCGTCTCTACTAAAAATACAAAAATTAGCCAGGCGTGGTGGCAGGTGCCTGTAATCTCAGCTACTCAGGAGGCTGATGCAGGAGAATTGCTTGAACCCGGGAGGCGGAGGTTGTAGTGAGCCAAGATCAAGACATTCCACTTCAGCCTGGGCGGCAGAGCAAGACTCTGTCTCAAAAGTAAATAAATAAATAAATAAATAAATAAATAAAGCCGGGTGTGGCGGCTCATGCCTGTAATCCCAGCACTCTGGGAGGCTGAGGCGGGAGGTCAGGAGTTCAAGACCAGCCTGACCAACATGGTGAAACCCTGTCTCTACTAAAAATACAAAAATAAACAAATAAATAAAAATAGAAAACTCCTCTTTAGGCCAGGGATGGTGGCTCACACCTGTAATCCCAGTACTTTGGGAAGCCAAGGTGGGATGATTGCTTGAGCCCAGGAGTTTGAGACCAGCCTGGGCAACATTGTGAGATCCTATCTCTGCAAACACTGGAGAAAACAAATAGTTGGCCATGGTGGTGCGCACCTGTAGTCCCAGCTACTGAGGAGGCTGAGGTATGAGGATTGCTTGACCCTGGGAGGTGGAGGCTGCCGTGAGCTACTGGAGTACCACCGCACTCCAGTCTGGGTAGGGACCATGTCTTCAAAGCTAAAAATTGAAAATTGAAAAAGGAGGAAAGAAAGGAAAAGAAAGGAAGAAAGGAAGAAAGCCTCTCTTTATTTGACGATGAGTCTGTCTCTACAACTCCTTCCCTGGCCAACATCTGCCGTTTTAGGACTACACGTAACAACACACAACACCGCTGCGTCTTCCCTGAGGCGGAACTTCCCCTATCTGAAATCCCTTGGAGGTTTTCTTTTTGATCCATTTAAGGTAAATAACACTCCCTTGCAGTCACATCTTGGGAAAGGTTTTCCTGATCCTGCACCAGATTGAGGATGGCCTGGCTAGTGCTCTCTCTGGACAACAGGGGCCACGGCAAAGTCCCCCAGGTGAATAGAGGCTCACTGGGCACCAGAGTGGCTGGCAAGGCCGGTGCTCCCTCAGGCAGAATTGTCTTCAGTTCCAAATCCCCTTGGAATCTTCTCTACTTTGTCATTTCTTCAGATTTATTTTGCAGGGCAGTAACTCTTCTTGCAGCTGGCTCTAATCTGCCATTTAATTTATCCACTGAGCACTTCATTTCAATGATCATAGGTTTTTTTTTTTTCGTTTGTTTGGTTTTGGTTTTTTTTTTTTTTTTTTTTTTGAGACGGAGTCCCAGGCTGGAGTGCAATGGCATGATCTCTGCTCACTGCAACCTCCGCCTCCCAGGTTCAAACAATTCTCCTGCCTCAGCCTCCTGAGTAGCTGGGATTACAGGCACGTGCCACCGCGTCCAGCTAATTTTTGTATTTTTAGTAGAGACGGGGTTTCAACATTTTGGCCAGGCTGGTCTCGAACTCCTGACCTTGTGATCCACCTGCCTCGGCCTCCCAAAGTGCTGGGATTACAGGCGTGAGCCACGGTGCCCGGTGGTATTTTTCTTTCTAAGAATTTTCTCCGGTTCTGTTTTGAATATACCTGAGTGGTTTTTTTTTTTAAATAAGTTTTGCTCACTCTTTTTTTGTTCCATTGTGTATTTCCTTCAACATTTTGTACGTAGTTATATTCTAATTCTAACATCATCAGAAGTCTTTAGGGTATCAATCTGTTGTTTCACTGCCTGTCATTCTGGTGGTTTATTTGCATATGTGTTGATTTTTTTCTATGAGCTCTGAGAGGGCAGGGAATGGGACCATATTTGGTTTTACCTAATGTGTAAACTGGAGGGCTTTCGTTGTAAAGGGCTTTCCTCAGAGAGGAAGTGCTTTTACTTCTGCCAAGAGCTCAAGGACACTCCTACCTGGGCTCATGTTAGCCGAGAAATCAGAGTATTTAAGGCTTAATGTCAATGTCAAGTTCAGCTCCCTCACTTTGGGGTTGGGATAGGGGAGTGATAGAGCCTGGGTCTAACCTCCCAGCTGCTCTCAGGGGTTCCTCATTCTTCACCTGCAGCTTTGCATTCTCTCACTTATTTCATTTTGATGACTTTTTTTCTCATTTTTAAAGCAACCCTCCAACCTCAGCCTTCTGAGTAGCTGGGACTACAGGTGTGCACCATGTCTGGCTCATTTAACTGTGTGTGGCAGTGGGTAGAGAGGTTTTTTTTGCCCTCTCTAAGAGATGGAGTTTCGCCATGTTGCCCAGGCTTGTCTCAAACTCCTGGGATCAAGTGATCTATTCACATCGGCCTCCCAAAGTACTAAACGTTCTCATTTTTTAAGTCCTTGGACATGTCCTTTACTTCTTTGGAGCCTTGGAATGAATGTCTAGGATCTAGAAAACTTCTTCAAACTAGTCATTCCTCCACATCCATAAAACATTCATTCCAGGACCCCTGAAGATACAAAAATTCAAGGATGCTCAAGTCTGATATAAAAGGGTACAGTAGCCGGGCGCGGTGGCTCAAGCCTGTAATCCCAGCACTTTGGGAGGCTGAGGCGGGTGAATCATGAGGTCGAGAGATCGAGACCATCCTGGTCAACATGGTGAAACCCCGTCTCTACTAAAAATACAAAAAAATTAGCTGGGCATGGTGGCGCGTGCCTGTAATCCCAGCTACTCGGGAGGCTGAGGCAGGAGAATTGCTTGAACCCAGGAGGCGGAGGTTGCGGTGAGCCGAGATCGCGCCATTGCACTCCAGCCTGGGTAACAAGAGCGAAAACTCCGCCTCAAAAAAAAAAAAAAAAAAAAAGGGCACAGTATTTTCATATAATCTCTGCACTTCTTCACACATACTTCTTTTTTTTTTTTTTTTTTTGCCAGACAGTCTCACTCTGTTGCCCAGGCGAGAGTGCAGTGGTGCAATCTTGGCTCACTGCAGCCTCTGCCACCCAGGTTCAAGCAAGTCTCGTGCCTCAGCGTCCTGAGTAGCTGTGACTATAGGTGCCCACCACCACACCCGGATAATTTTTGTATTTTAAGTAGTGATAGGGTTTTTTTTGTTGTTGTTTTGTTTGTTTTGTTTTGTTTGAAGTGAAAGGTCTCACATATTTATTACTGAACCCAGGCAACCAAAACCTTTTTTTTTTTTTTTTTTTTTTAACATGAATAATGGAAGCACTGTGGGTTGTACTAACTCATGCCTTCATAACAGATACAGAGAGGAAACTGTTCAGACTTCTCCAGATAGCAGTGACATTTTTCAGCTTGATTTGGTAACACGATTGTGACCTTCAGACAGCATAAATATGTGTGCCATCGCATGTGTCATTTCTTTTTTTTTTTTTTTTTTTTTTTGAGACGGAGTTTCGCCCTTGTTACCCAGGCTGGTGTGCAATGGCGCCATCTCGGCTCACTGCAACCTCCGCCTCCTGGGTTCAGGCAATTCTCCTGCCTCAGCCTCCTGAGTAGCTGGGATGACAGGCACGCGCCACCATGCCCAGCTAATTTTTTGTATCTTTGGTAGAGACGGGGTTTCACCATGTTGACCAGGATGGTCTCGATCTCTCGACCTCGTGATCCACCCGCCTCGGCCTCCCAAAGTGCTGGGATCACAGGCGTGAGCCACCGCGCCCGGCCCATGTGTCATTTCTTACAGACCCAGCATGGTTCTTCTCCAATGTCTCCTTTGGGAGTTGTACCTGATTTTATTACCAGTTTTCATCTGAATCCACTGGGGAATGGGACGATTTTGCTTTTGTTTCTTGGCCAGGAATCGCTTAATCCTGAAAGTCTTGTGAGAAGACGTGGCGTGAAACAGAGTAAAGCACACACCACGATGATGGAGAAAAAAAGAGAGGAAAGTGATAGGTTTTGCCATATTGGCCAGGCTGGTTTTGAACTCCTGACCTTAAGTGATCCACCCTCCTCAGCCTCCCAAAGTGCTGGGATTTTAGGTGTGAGCCACTATACCTGGCCTCAAATCATTTCTAGATTACTTACAATAACTAAAACAATGTATATGCCTTGTACATAGTCACTACACTGGTTCATTTATATATATATATATTTTTTTTTTTATTTTTTTGAGATGGAGTTTCACTCTTGTTGCCAGGCTGGAGTGCAATATTGCAATCTTGGCTCACCGCAACCTCCCGGGTTCAAGTAATTCTCCTGCCTCAGCCTCCCAAGTAGCTGGGATTACAGGTGCCTGCCACCATGCCAGGTTAATTTTGTATTTTTAGTAAAGACGGGGTTTCTCCATGTAGATCAGGCTGGTCTGGAACTCCCGACCTTAGGTGATCCGCCCACCTTAGCCTCCCAAAGTGCTGGGATTACAAGCATGAGCCACTGTGCGCAGCTATTTACATTATTTTTTATTGTAGTATTTTTTTCTTGGTTTGGCTTTTTTTCCAAATATTTTTGATCTGTAGTTGTTTGAATCTACAGATGCAGAGCCATGGATGTGGAGGGCCGATCGTGTTTAGTTGGCTGAAATATGGTAGGTGGAAGTCTGTTCATCCATTCTTTCAATGATTCATCCAACAAATCTTTTTCCAGCCACTACTTTGTGCAGATTAGGCTGGGTGCTGATGTGGCAGACACTGGACTAGACATACTCCCTTCCCTGTCAGGGCTCACAGATTTTGGGGGGGCATAGGTTATTATGATAGAGGGTGACCACAAAGGAATTACTACACACCTGTAGCCCCAGCTACTCAGGAGGCTGAGGTGGAGGGGGATCACTTGAACAGGTGTTATGAGAATTCAGTGGAGAGGTTCCTTGAGGGCATCCAGGAAGATACTTTTCATCTTGAACTCCTGACGTCAGGTGATCCACCTGCCTCAGCCTCCCAAAGTGCTGGGATTACAGGTGTGAGCCACCGTGCCCAGCCTCCAGGAAGATACCTTTGAGAGAGTGATGAAAAACTGATTCCAGGCCAGGCGTGGTGGCTCATGTCTATAATCCCAGCACTTTGGGAGGCCAAGGCAGGAGGGTCGCTTAAGCCTTGGAGTTTGAGACCAGCCTGGGCAACATAGGGAGACCCAATCTCTACAAAAAAAAATTAAAAATAGCTGGATGTGGTGGCATATACCTGTAGCCCCAGCTCCTCAGGAGGCTGAGGTGGAGGGGGATCACTTGAACCAGGGGGGTCAAGGCTGCAGTGAGCCGTGATTGTGCCACTGCACTCTAGCCTGGGCAACAGAGTGAGACCCAGTCTAAAAACAAAAACAAAAAAAACAAAACAAAACAGATTCTAACAGGTAAGCAGATGATAGTGAGGCCAAGTTGGGGAGAGTAGATGCTTCATGAGCCAAGCTGGGAGGAAAAACACAGAGGAGAGGCTGAAAGCACGAGAAGGCATGGGTGAGGGGGGAACTGAGGAAATCAGGCTTGGCTTGGGCAGAGTGAGAGGAGGGTGAAGGGTGGGGTAGGGCCAGCTAAAACACAGCAGATTCACTGAGGAGCTTGGGTCCTAGTCTAAAGACAACAGGGGCCAGGCACAGTGGCATGCCTGTAATCCCAGCACTTTGAGAGGCAAAGATAGGTGGATCATCTGAGGTCAGGAGTTCGAGACCAGCCTGGCCAACATGGTGAAACCCTGTCTCTACTGAAAATACAAAAATTAGCTGGGTGTGGTGGCAGGTGCCTATAATTCCAGCTACCTGGGAGACAAAGGCAGGAGAATCGCTTGAACCCAGGAGGTGGAGATTGCAGTGAGCCATGACTGTACCACTGCACTCCAGCCTGGGCAACAAGAGCAAAACTCTATCTCAAAAAAAAAAAAAAAAAAAAAAAAAAGAAAAAGAAAAAGAGACAACAGGGAAAACAGTGATAAAACAGCAGGGAAGAGCCAGGTGTGGTGGCTCACGACACTTTGGGAGACAGAGGTGGTGGATCACCTGAGGTCAGGAGTTCGAGACCTGCCTGGCCAATATGGTGAAACTACTAAAAACTACAAAAATTAGCTGGATGTGGTGGTGGGCGCCTGTAACCCCAGCTACACAGGAGGCTGAGGCAGGAGAATCACAACCCGGGAGGCCGAGGTTGCGGTGAGCCGAGATCACACCATTGCACTCCAGCCTGGGTAAGGGGAATTAAAAAACCCAGCAGGGGAAGTGACAGAATCCAGTTAGTTTTAGATGGCATGTTGCAATGTGGTCTCTAAAGATAGGTGGGGGCCAGAGGGAAGACCAGGAAATGCTAAGAAGGAAACCATGGTGAGAAGGTAGCAGGAGGGGAGCAGGGGACAGGGGCAGGGACTATCTCCAGAGGCCTGGTTGGGGCTGCAGTCACAGCTTCAGGGGCCTCTGCTTCAGGCCACAGTCTCAGGTGGGCAGCAGCCCAGCTGCCTCCGCAGTCAATAGGCTGCTACGTTCCCACCTGAGCCGCACCACCACTTGTCTCTCCTTTCAGGCAAAACCCCCGAAAGGAGCTGCTTTCAAAGACCCAGCTGATTGCATCCCTGGTTACCATGAAAGAGCAGAACAAGTTACAGTCTCACCACAGGAAATAAAAAAGAATGATCCGGCAACTGGCAGCGTTTTTCCAGCATGATTCTAGCCAGCTGTCCTTTATGCTGCTTGGCACAAGAGCTGCATCAGTGTAAGAATAGCAGCAGCTTCTTCAGTGCAAGGCACTGCGCTAAACACTTTGCTCTTGTGTGATTCCATTTGAGGCAGCCATCATCACAGGAGTTACCACGAAACGGCTGAGAAGTTAAGTACTTTGCCTAAGGTTGAACGGTCGGAAGCTGCAGAAGAGGATTTTCATCCAGGCGTGTCTACCTCCTGAAGGTCTGGGTACCACACCCTGCCTTAGACAACAGACTGACAGTACAAAAGCACCCCTCTTTTTCCCTAATAATTTGACTTTGGCATAATTTTAAGTTTACCAAAAAGTTGCAAAGATAGAGTTTCTGTGTGCCATTCACCCAGTTTCACCTGTTACCATCCTTTTTTTTTGAGACAGTCTTACTTTGTCATCCAGGCTGGAGTGCAGTGGCGCAATCTCAGCTCACTGCGACCTCCGCCTCCCAAGTTGAGGCGATTCTTCTGCCTCAGCCTCCCAAGTAGCTGGGACTACAGGCACGTGCCATCACACCTGGCTAGTTGTTTTTTTTTTTAATTTTTAGTAGAGACCAGGTTTTGCCATGTTGGCCAGGCTGCTCTTGAACTCCTGACCTCAAGTGATCTGCCCACCTCGGCCTCCCAAAATTCTGGGATTACAGGCATGAGCCACCACGCTCAGATTACCTGTTACCATACTACATCACAATGATATATTTGCTAAAAGTAGGAAACCACTGGTACATTACTACTAGCTGAACTCCAGACTATTTGTATTACGTTTTAATTTATTATTTAGTTAGTTTGTTGAGACAGGGTCTTGCCCTGTGGCCCATGCTGAATGTAGTGATGCAGTCACAGCTCCCTGCAGCCTCCACTTCCCAGGCTCAAACAATTCTCCCACCTCAGCCTCCTGAGTAGCTGGCACTACAGACACGTGCCACCATGCCCAGCTAATTTTTTATTTTTTGTAGAGACGGGGTCTCCCTATGTTGCCTAGGCTGATCTCAAACTCCTGGGCTCAATCCATCCTCCTGCCTCAGCCTACCAGAGTGCTGGGATTACAGGCATGAGTCACTGTGCCCAGCGTTTATCCTATTTCATCAGTTTTTATGCCAATACCCTATTTTGGTTCCAGAATCCAATCTACATACCACAATGCATTTAGTTTTCACTCCTCCTTAATCTCCTGTCCTTGACTTTCATGACTTTTTTTTTTTTTTTTTTTTTTTAAGAGCTCCCGCTATATGGGAGGGGATTCCAGAGAGCTGGAAATCCTGACTTTCATGACTTAACAATTTAAGGAGTCGGGGCAGTGGCTCACGCCTGTAATCCCAGCACTTTGGGAGGCCAAGGTGGATGGATCACCAGGTCTGGAGTTCAAGACCAGCCTGGCCAATATGGTAAAACCCCGTCTCTACTAAAAATACAAAAAGTAGCCGGGCGTGGTGGCGCTCACCTGTAGTCCCAGCTACCCGAGAGGCTGAGGCAGAAGAATCACTTGAACCCGGGAGGCAGAGGTTGCAGTGAGCCCAGATCATGCCACTGCACTCGAGCCTGGGTGACAGAGCAACACTCTGTCTAAAAAACAAAACAAAACAAAACAAAAAAATAAGGAGCACTGTTATTTTATAGATGTCCTCTAACTTGGTTATAGGTTTCAGGAGAATATCACAGAGGTGAACTGCTCTTATCATGTCAAACCAGAGTATGTATCAATGTGATTCACAAGTGGTATCAACCTCAATTTGGTTAAGTTAGCATATGCCAGGTTTCTCCACAGTAAAGTTACTATTTCTCTCCTCCATACTCTTTTCTTTGGAGAGCAAATCACTAAGTTCAACCTACACTCTAAGGGGTGGGGAGTTCCACTTACTGAAGACAGGAGTATCTACTTATATTATTTAGAATTTTTTTTTAAGACAGGGTTTTACCACTTTGGTCAGGCTAGTCTCGAACTCCTGACCTCAGGTGATCCACCTGCCTCAGCCTCCCGAAGCGCTAGGATTACAGCTACCTTGCCGGCTTTAGAATATTTTTTATAAGATTTGTACCTTCAGCCCGGCGTAGTGGCTCACACCTGTAATCCCAGCACTTTGGGAAGCCAAGGCGGTTAGATCACAAGGTCAAGAGTTCGAGACTAGCCTGACCAACATGTTGAAACCCCGTCTCTACAAAAAATACAAAAAGTAGCTGGGCATGGAAGATTTTTATAAAAATTATCAGTATCAGCATAGACTTATTTATCTTATGCTTTTGGCTTAATCATACCCTTTATTTAAAAAACAATTTTTTTTGAGATGGAGTCTC